GTATCGTTGTGGGGTGAAATGTTTTATACAAAGAGTTTCGATGTGAATCATTTATTGGCTGCCTTAAAATATGGCTTCGTGCGAGTGAATTGGCTCAGTTGAGGTAAATGGTCTTGTGGATTCCATACTACTGACTCGATCGACATTTTATCTATTATTTAACTTAATAATATTATGTACATTTGGCTCGTTATAATAACAATGACTTTTAATTCTGTAAAATAGATACATCTTAAAAAACTTAGTTGATTGTTGACTAGTTCTTACAATAAAAAACTTTACTTTTGTGTTATATAATTGAAACACAAAAAAATCAGAATATAACTGTAGCAGGTACAAAATTGTGCGAAGTAATTAATTACTCACGAGTCACATAAATAAAGAGCAAACAAAATTCTGATTTATTAGGGCGAGGTGGTACTCCATGCCGCTCCGCCGCCGCTGCTCCGCCGCCGGCCGCCCCTCAGTGACATTTTTCAATAAATCGAGAGAAATTGTGTATATCCCATGAAATTAGTTAAGGAAAATTACATTTGTTTTTTTCTAGCGATTGAATGCGAAGCTAAGCTTTACTTATTTTTATTAGTAACTAGCTTTCGCCCGCGACTCCGTCCGCGTGAAATTAAAAAAAAAAACAAAAGCGAGTAGCCTACGTGTTCTAGGCTATCCTCTACGTGTGTGCCAAATTTCATCGAAATCTGTTCAGCCGTTTAGACTACAAACTAACAAACATCCATCCATCTAAACTTTCGCATTTATAATATTAGTAAGATCCGAGTTTATAGTAAGGAGTAAAATTAATAATACTATTCAAATTAAAAGGCTAAACTGATCTGGATGAAATTTTGTATAGTTTTAGAACATAGTCTGGAAGTAGTCGTTGTTTTCCAATTCCACACGGAAAAAGTTGCGGGGTAAAGCTAGTAAAATATAAAAGTCAGCAACCCAGTGATACAGTTATTAATGATGATTAAAGATCATTTAAGTTAATACTGTGCCAGTAAAAAAAATTAAATCATTTCATTGAATGCATTAAGGAATTAAAATAAACGTCAAACAATATCTCACACCTGGCTCAGTTAGCCGGAAACGACTAATACTGCCTTCCACTCCCT